GTATGCATATATTTCCAAAATATATATTTTATAACCTAAAAAAAAATCAGGAGAAAAATCTGTCACTTACGATGTGTCACGTACGATATTTAATATGTTCATTATAAAATTATATTAAGTTCTTTTTTTTATTTAAAAATTATGGATTTCTAATGAAAAATATGTCCCATAGGGTAAGAAATTAAAACAAGAAAGATACACCCACAGAAATTCGCAGAATTTTCGTAAATAGTTACATGTACTTTAAAACACTTCCGTTTTTTGTCACGTATGATATCTCCATATTTTAATCCATATTTTGGAAAACAAGGTTCCGAATTGGGATGATTCCTTTTGCAAATATAGTATTCTTTAAATGGAACAGAATGACAAAATTGACTAGTTTCCTATTAGTTTTTTAAACAAGAAAGATTTAAAGCTTTTTAAGGATAATCTAAGAATCTGCTTCCCGAGTCGTTGGAAGTATGGACCAGTTCTACTTTTAACACTTTCCTAGAGGAACAGAATTGATAATATGAATAATTCGAATACTTTGAATGGTTCGCTAGGGCTGGCTATCGGTTCTAGTTCTATCAGATTAAATGAAAGAGACCTGCTAGTTTAACAAGGGGGACTTCCTCGTAACAGTCAATTGTTATTGTTAAGGTATTCGCTGACACCACTCGAGTGGTGTCAGTGCACTCTGAACAAAGCTACTTAATAATAAACTTGTTGTATTGAAATACTCTTAATAGCGAAATCCCTAATTCATAAATTTATGCCAGTATCAAAAGCTTTAGATACTATTTATATAAATTAAATTAATTTAAACTTGAAACTAAAATGACAGTTAATTATAAACATTATATATTACAAAAAAAATACTTAATAGTAATTAAATATTTTTAAATAAAATGATTGACCATCAAGCTAAATTTCTAAAAAAATGGTTTTACAAACCTTTATTACAATTTATATTTAATATACATAATATATATATTTATAGAAGAAACGTAAAAAAATATCTTTTGAATCCAGTCTAACAAATTCTGACTGTGCTGTGATTTCGAAATAAGTACGTTTGCCATGACATTAATATTTTTTTTTTTTTGGTACAAAAAATACTACATTTAAAACAAAGAAAGTAATGACAAAAATTTTAATGTACAAATTTTTCTTATCGCACTGATTTTATTGTTTAATCACAATAATTTGATAAACATCTTATTGTTTTTATATTTTAAATTCGGGTTCAATGGTTATTTTGGGACCACTCACAAACAACAAGGTAAGAGTGCTTATATTAGGCTATGCCGAATTTTATATACCCACCATCAAAGTGTATGTTTGTAAATTAAAGTTAATTGCGAAGATGGTCCTATATATGGAGCCTTTAAAAATTTAATAAGGGCTTGACTCAATTGTAGACCGACCTCTACAGAATTTATAATAGTGAATAATGTTTTCCAAAGAGTAATTTTTAGTTTAATTTAATTTTGATAATGGTATTTAAAAGACAATTATGAGTATAAGGGGACCTCATATAGGGCGTAGAGCCAATTATGGTCCGAAGTCCACCTTATATTGGTTGCATAAAACAACATTGAGCAAAATTTTTAAGACGATTGCTGTATAATTAAACTAATTTATGACCCTTTAAACATTATATCGAGTATGTATATATGGAGGCTAGTCGAAATTATGGACCGATATTCTCTACCATACAAACCTTATCAGTAGAGAATATTGTGCAAAAATCGTGTTTTCAACAGACACACGGACGGACATAGATAATCGTAGAATTTAATTAGAACCCAGAATATATTTATATGTATACATACTTTTGTGGGTCTTCAAGCAATAGTTGTAAAATTTTAAAGCACTAAGTTTCTACTGATGTCGATTATTGATTTGATTTTTATGAATATATCAGCTCTCAGGGGTTTTACATCATTCATTAAGGTTTCCCTTTATTGAACTATATATTTTATTAAAAAAAATGTTAAAGAGAGAAATACTCTACAAAATTAACTTTATACTTTTTTTTAGAACGTTACGATGTTTTAAAAGTTATATCCCTAATTTCTTTATTTAAAAATAGTTGATTCCAATTATCACTTTTATTTAATATTATACTCTACACCACTATAGTGAGAAGGGTATTATGTTTTTGTACTGGTGTTTGTAACGCACAAAAATATTGGTCCCACAGTCATCTTAAATTATATCAATCAGCTTAGAATCACTTTCTGAGTAGATAAAGCCGTGTGGTTATATTGTTATATTGGGACCACTCACAAACAACAAGTAAGAGTGCTTTTATTAGGCTATGCCGAATTTTATATACCCACCATTAAAGCGTATGTTGTATGGTCCTATATATGGAGCCTTAAAAATTTAATAAGGGCTTGACTCAATTATAGACCGACCTCTACAGAATTTATAATAGTGAATAATGTTTTCCAAAGAATAATTTTTAGTTTAATTTAATTTTAATAATGGTATTAAAAAGACAATTATGAGTATGAGGGGACCTCATATGGGGCGTATAGCCAATTATGGTCCGAATTCCACCTTATATTGGTTGCATAAAACAACATTGAGCAAAATTTTAAGACAATTGCTGTATAATTAACTAATTTATGACCCTTTAAACATTATATCGAGTATATATGGAGGCTAGTCGAAATTATGGACCGATATTGCTCATATTCAATACCATACAAACTTTATCAGTAGAAAATATTTGTGCAAAAATCGTGTTTTCAACTGACAACGGACGACGAACATAGATAAATCGTAGAATTTAATTAGAAACCAGAATATATTTATATGTATATATTTTGTGGGTCTTTGAGCAATGGTAGTAAAATTTTAAAGCACTAAGTTTCTACTGCTGACGATTATTGATTTGATTTTTATGAATATATCAGCTCTCAGGGGTTTTACATCATTCATTAAGGTTTCCCTTTATTGAACTATATATTTTATTAAAAAAAATGTTAAAGAGAGAAATACTCTACAAAATTAACTTTATACTTTTTTTAGAACGTTACGATGTTTTAAAAGTTATATCCCTAATTTCTTTATTTAAAAATAGTTGATTCCAATTATCACTTTTTATTTAATATTATACTCTACACCACTATAGTGAGAAGGGTATTATGTTTTTGTACTGGTGTTTGTAACGCACAAAATATTGGTCCCACAGTCATCTTAAATTATATCAATCAGCTTAGAATCACTTTCTGAGTAGATAAAGCCGTGTCTGCCCCTCAGTCTATACGTCCGTCTATCCTTCTAAATCTATAATCGAACTACAATTCTCAATTTTTAAGATAACTCGACGAATGTTGGTGAACATATCATTTTTAATTTTGGTAGCCCTGGTCCACCCGGATAAGGATTTAAAGCTCATAATTATGTTAAAAACATATTGTGTCTACAAAAATCAGCATAAATAAATTGTTTATAAACATAAATCCAAAATTATATGATGATTAGCCCATATTTGACCGTAGCCCCCCTATAAATCCTTTTTCGAATAATCAGATTTTCATTTAAAATAGCTTAATTTTGTCGGAATTAAGATAAAATTCAACTTATTTAAAGGTTTTATTATAAAAAAAATCACATTTTAAATATAACATGACTGTTGTAGAATATCTCATGGTCGGCAATGTCCGACTAAACTTTCTTACTTGTCATTCTTATAAAATTTATTGTTGACAGTTTCTATTGTAGTTTGTAACTTGAAAAGATCTAAAATAGTTCGCAACACTATAAATAATCAATAATCGGAAGTTCTTAAAGAAACGTCATAATATTTAAGAATAACCTTATGTTGGCCATTCGTTATTAAAGATTACTTTTCTAGGGAAAAGGGCAGCCACTCACAACTAAAACCTTAAAACAAGGCGTATCTGTTTTAATGACAGCTGTCATTTTAAGGACAAGTTAAGTCACTTAAGAAACAAAATTTTATTAAAATTAATTTAATTTAAAAAAATCTTTTAAAATAGAAAAAATTTTAACATTTGGATCGATTTAGAAACAGGTTATCTTTTCATAAGTGACTGCACTTGTTTTGACACGATCCTCAAAGCAAAGGAATTAACACAAAACTAGTCGGTACTTAATGACGTCGTTCCCACGACAATTGGATCTTCGCTCCGGAACGACCCGAGTCATACCCGGCCAAAGATTGTCAACCCAGCGACAGCTGTATCAACCGAAACCGGAACCGGTTCTTGTTAAAACACTTTTAAAATGACAAAATCCGATCTTGGCCCTTTATTTGGATATTAAAAGACATTACAAGCTTTAGAAAATGTCCAATCTTTAAAATTATTTAAAAAATTTGTAACTTCGAAATTATATTTTTAATGAAACCTCATGATTTACAGATAAACTTTTCTAAAAGCATTAAATTTCTATAAGAAACCTCATAGTTGCCAAATTTCATACTATTCGGCATATAGGAATTGGTTTTTTAATGAACTGAAAATGTCCAGTTATTTAAGTAATTAAAAACTATTTTTTGAACTGAAAATGTTCAGTTATTTAATTAATTTAAAACATTTTTTTAATTTTACTGTTTTAGTTTATTTTTAATTTAAAGAACTTCTTTAATAACGAACGCTTGTCTCTATCAAAAGAGTGTTAAGGTCGAATTATATATTTGCAAGACCAGTTTTATTTTAATTTAAAAAACAAATTTTTTTTTATTTACTTCAAAAATAATATTAAATTTCACTTAAATTTTGTATAAATTATTTATGAATAAAATTTGTATAAAAAATTGCACACGTTGCTAAATTGCCTTTTAAAAATTGTTTAATTATATGGATTTCTTGTTTTTTATTTAAATTAAAAAAGTAAAAACATATTTATAACAATTTTGTTTTTATAAAATTTCAACGGTTATATACGCAAGTTTAAATAGATTAGGTTTCAATTATTGGATTTTTTTTTTATAAAAAACAAAAACAGTTGACACATTTTGTTTTTAAAATATCTACCTTTTTTTAAAGAATTTTATTTATTAAGATTATTTTTAGTCTTTATTTTTTTTTTGCCAAACAAATAATTAACTTCTATTTAATATGTTTATAACACATAAAAAGGTTTAATTAACAAAATAAAAAGTTAAACAAAAGAACACAAATAAAAAATTGCTAATTAAAATTGTGCCGTTATTTTTGAAATACAAGTTTTAGACGAACGAACGGTTTGACGTACTCGAAATGACTGAATATTGAATGGAGTCTAAAGGCAAAATAAACCTTTTTTTTCTTCTTTATCGTTTCTCTATAGTTCATATATGACTGCAGACGACGACTGACTACTGACTGACTCTAGCAAAGAGTATGTTACTACTGAATGACTGGCATGAATGAATGACTGAACCATGTTGACAGAATGATGATTGTGTGTTAAATGAATTACTTAAACTGAGAATAAATGTGTGAGTTTAATTTTTAATTTCTTATAGTTATTCTCATTTAATGAGTACGATTTTTTATTAAAAAGTCTTCCAGTAATTTTGCCGGTCTCCAATTGTTAAGATTTGCGATTTAAACAAGTGTTTTTTTTTATTATTATTATTTCATCTGTTCTTAAAAAGATATATCTTTTATATTTTTTGCTTTACATTTAAAAATCATTGAATTGTTTAAATAAAAACAATAAAACACTTTTTAAAAAAAACATGTATTCAGATTTACAATTGAAAGTGTTTAACGATCAATCTCGATCGAAGTACTGGTGTGAATGTGTAACACGCCGATATACATACATACACACACGTCTATAAAATTTACTTAAAAACAGGGTGTTGAAATTGAATGCTAAAAATTACAACTAAATAGTTAATGAACCAGTGCCGTAACTGGTTCTTAGAGTGCTAGTTTTAGCTCCAACTCTTTACGTGAAAGTTATTTTACACCTTGAAAGGGGTTGAACCATAAAGTGCTGGAATATAGACTAGACTATAGAGTAGACTATAGATTAGATTATAGACTAGCTTATAGACTGGAGTCTAGTCTAGTCACTAGACTATAGACTAGACTATAGACTAGACTATAGACTAGACTATAGACTAGACTATAGACTAGACTATAGACTAGATAGACTAGACTATAGACTAGACTATAGACTAGACTATAGACTAGACTATAGACTAGACTATAGACTAGACTATGACTAGGACT